ACGCAGCGTTTGTGGGTTTTGATCGTTATTTTAAAATATGTAAGGACAAGACGTTCTATTTTCTCGTACAGTGTGTATGTTTGTTTTCGAGTGTCTAGTTGTGTAATGATAAACGAGTATAGCGCGTTAGCTAGTTCTCAATGTTCACGTATGGTTTAGACTAGAAAGAAATGTGTGGTCAGAAAGTTGAACACATGGGAGGAGCTGTAAGTTTTTTGGTTTGGTTATGGTTCGTATTTTGCTAGGAAATACGTTTTTTCGCGTTATCTGCGTCGGAATTTTGAGGGTTTGTGCGTTGCGGGGGTTGTTAGGGGTTTCTGGGGCGATTTAGATGTGCGAGGGATAGTGTCTGTGTGTTGGGTGCGATGGGTGTAAAAGGTTTTCAGGATCTGGGATAGTGCGGTTTTTGTCTGGTCTACAGTTGATAGTGGTTTGTTGACGTGCAACATAGGGTTACGTTTGAGCACTCGGTATTGTGATATTTTTATTGTCGTGCTTGCGCAGCGTATGCATGTTGTTCGTGTTATGTTGCATCATTGTTTAACAGGTCTGGTGTGTGGCTGCTTTCTCGTGGTTATGTATGTGTCTTCGATTGGTTGTTGCCGGATTGTGAAGGTTTGTAGTTTGTTAATTTTTTTGTAGGAGCGGTTGATTGCAGAGTCGACTGGACGAGTGGTCTCAGGCCCGTTATCAGTGACGGAGGGTGATAATGTAACTTTACGGGTACCGGGTTCGAAGACGGTGGATAGTAGTGACGTTCGGGTTTTTCTGAATGATGTTGTTGTGCCTTCTGATCACGATCGTATATCTGTGGAGAAGGATGGTAGTACGGATAATTATGTGGTCATTAATGATATTGGTATCAACGACGGTGGTCGCTATACAGTGGAATTTGGTGGTAATGTGGTACCTTTATCAGTGATCGAAGTTGTGCCTGCAGAAACGGGTTCGGTTTTGGAAGAGGTAACGTTGGACAAGCCACAGGTGGTTATGGAAGAGGAGTCAGTTGGAAGCGCTGGCGTTTCGCTTGTAGAGCTGGAGGAGGATAAAGATGTAGGAGAATCGGTCGAGCATGAGTTACCGGTTCACGAAGTTATGGAAGGAGATACTGTGAACTTAACAATTGAACGTCCGGAGTCATCTCAAGTCACTTTATACAGAAATGGTGAGAAAATTGAGCCAAGTTCGAGACTAGATTTGAAGCCGAAATCAACAACGTCGACAGAAATTACAATTAAAAATATCATCCCAAATGATGAGGGAACATACACTGTATCCTTCGATAATCTCAATAAAAAAACTAAATTGATGTTCCTTAAGGTGGTATCCAAACCAATGCTTTACGATGTTTTGTCTTTGCCAAAAGACATATTTGAGGAAGGCGAAGTTTTACAATTAGAATGCACGTTTGATAAACCGCAACAAGATTTAATTTGGTTGAAAGATGGAGATGAACTAAAAGACGATGATAATACCACAATCGAAAACAACGAACAAACATACACACTCACCATACGAAATCTCAAACCACATGTAAACGAGGGAGTATACACCTTAAAAGGGCCGCATATTCAGCTTCAAACCCCGTTTGTTTACGTCCAAACTAAGAAACCTGAACAAAACCAAATCCTGCAAAAACATCAAGAAATCAATGCCGAACTTGACGTGTCCAAATCTGAACCTTCAAACGAAACAGTCTCTCCGCAACCCCCACAACCAGAGAACGAACCAACACCTCAGCAAGTCTCTGAAATAGGGCCAACTGGACCATCTTCCGAAATACCGGATCAAACTCCACTCTCTCAAATGCCAAGCCAAGCAGCACAATTCGTTCAACAACCGAAGGCCAACAAGACCAATATTCTTGAAGGAGAACAGTTAGTGTTAGAGTGCGAATTAGATCAAAAACCGAATACAGTTCAGCTAAAGAAGAATGGTGAAATCGTCGATGAACAACGAGTGAAAGACGATAGCAAAGACAAAAAGATTCGATTTACACTGGATAATGTTAAAGTGAACGAATCTGGTGATTACACAGTTGTGGTCAATAATGATCTGGAAAGTAAACCTGTCTCAATTACAGTCAACGTAGATATTCCAAAGTTCGTTAAAAATTTAAAGGTGAACAAGAATCAATTAGAGGAACTAGAAACTATCATCTTCGAGTGTGAACTCAATAAACCGTACGACACTGTTATCTGGTTAAAAGATAATGTGCCTATTGAGTCCAATGAAAACGTTCAAATTACACAAGATAAATCTAAATTGAAATTGACGGTGAAAAATGCGAAACCCCAACAGGATACCGGTACGTACAGTGTACGTGTGAAAGATGTGGAAAGTGACAAAGTGCCTGTTACTGTAAACAAGAAGCAGCTCAAATTTGTCCAACAACCGAAGGCCAACAAGACCAATATTCTTGAAGGAGAACAGTTAGTGTTAGAGTGCGAATTAGATCAAAAACCGAATACAGTTCAGCTAAAGAAGAATGGTGAAATCGTCGATGAACAACGAG